TGATATTTATCACATTTTTTTTATATATTTCTATTGGATTCTCTTCTACCGAGCAAACACAAAACAAAGCTTTGGTTTTTATTTCTCTTCTCTACATGATTCTTTTTCCTCCAACAAAAAAAACAAAAATTAAATAAACTAACAAAGTACAAATCTTATATGATAGAGTAAGATCATGTGAAATTTTTTTTTTCTATCTTTCTTGGGTTTTTTTTTAATCGAACAAATACAAAAATAACACTATGGTTTTTTCTCCCTTTTCCACCTGGTTCTCATTCATTATATCTCATACTTCAAATTATTTCTGAACATTTTTTAACTTTTAAGAGCTGATTGTGGTATTACTTATGCACGAAAAATAGTTTTCATTCTTTATGTTTTCTTTGTGGTTAATCGAATAGAAAACTATTCATTATTTGCTTTCATGAAAACATTTTAGATTAATGGCTCACTTTTTTCTTCCATACCCCATCGAACCTCAAACCGCTACTATCACTATATAGATTCTACACTCTGAATTTTGTTTCCGATCATCCTTCCGTGCTTTTAAAGAATGGTGACAGCTACATTTTTTTTAACAGGGTCAAATCTCATTTTATATAAATATTATTATTTTACCAATTTTTTAATACTATTTTTTTTACAAATTACATGATCTTCACAACCAAAAAACTAACATTTCCCTATAAACTTTAACTAACAAATATAATAAAATATATTATAAAATTAAAATTGTTAAATTATCACAAATTCACACAACATGCAGATCTTCTTTTAGTTTTTGCCTTTACCATCCGCAGCCGCGGCTTAAGAAAATTGGTGATGATATCACAGATTCCTTCTCCGAGAAGTTATCTATCTCAAACTGAAACTCATCCGCTTTTGATCCTCCATACTCTATTCCCAGCCTATTACTTTGAGCAAAAAAACAACTTTTTCATAGACTTGTTTTCGATACTTACCCTAAACCCGTCTATCTATAAAGCTAAACTAAATCCTAATTCAAAAGAAATAACACACCATAGAAAACCGGATTTGTACATTTTTTCTACCCAACAACTTTGGAGATCCTCCGGTTTGATTATTCTCAAAAGTATCTTACTATATAAAAGAATTGGGGATTTTTAAGAGAAAAATTGATTCTGGCGCTAGCCATGATGGCATGAGCCATGAGTGATGACACTGAGGTACATACAACTCAAAAGATCTCATTATCCATTACAAAAATTTAAACTAGTGGTTCTTGATTAATTCAAGAAATTTATCTTTGCTTTCATGAGAATTCTTTTGATAAAGAAAAGAAAAAGACAGAATGTGAATTACAGTTAGAAGGTCACACGAGGCAGGACAAGAAACAAAGCTCCAAAAAAGCTTTCTCTGTATCTGTAAAGTCAAACAACTGTTACTAGTAATTTATACTACCTTTCAATGTTTTAAATTCCCCAAAAAGCAAACAAATGACTATAGAAAAGCGACAAACAAAATTACACGATTTAAGAGGAGACCAGAGTCTCTGATCTTTTCCACAATAATTGAGTTTGCTCTTAGAAACAACAAAGTTGATTAAATGAAAGCTTCAACTAAATGATGAGAAGATAAAGAGGAATTTAGACCATCCACAAAGCTCTCAATATATTGTTAGAGGAAAAATGAATATATTTTCTAAAAAGCTTTCTCTAACAATAATTTAAACCGATAAAGACGAAGAGGACCGTACTGATCTAGCTCAGATAAAAGGAAAACTCTTAAAGATAGTCTTTGAAGTTCGAAAGCATCAGATTAACTCAAAGAATAAAAGAAAATTTCTATATTCTTCAGAGAATAAGGGATATTTCTATATCACAAATATGGAAGTATTTACCAAAGGAAAAAAGGAAAAGGAGCTCAGAGCAACCGACCTCCTATCCATATAAATAAGAAAACCCTGAAGCTCAAGAAAAGAACTCATTCAATTTAGAGAGCAGCAGAGCGAAAAATCAAGAACTCCAACGCTTTCTAGTTTACTTCGAAAACACTTTCTTTTCACTTTGGCATAACCTCTCGGTTAAGCCATCTCTTGTAATCGCTTCGCCTTATAGCTATTAATAAAAGATCTTATTCTCCAAAACCCACAACTGTTAATCAAATTCTTAGTGGTGATTTTCTGGTTCAACAGTTGGCGCCGTCTGTAGAGACTAAGAGCGTCTGTGGGGACTAAGAGAATAGATTCTAAAAACTAGCAAAAAGATCCAAAGCAATGAGCCTTCCGACCGATAGCAGCAACCTCACCTCTAACGTAGAGGATACTACCAAACGTGTTGACACGCCTGCCATCGATGAACACGGCAACCTTATCACTGCAATCCCATCACCCGCGGGAGCACCTCCGGCCCCTATCCATGCCACCGACCTCATTGCAGCAATTCAAGCCACCCTACTACCTCTCACACAGAACCTGGTGTCAAAGCTAGAAACCCTTCAGGCCCAGCAGGCCAAGTAAGACGAGCAACTCAGCACCTTAGCGGCCGCGACTACCGCGAGATCAGAACCTCTAGGATGGCGTTTGGTCTTCGAAACACCGGAGCAAGGCAACACTCTAGGCGCAGCACCGGCTAATGAGGAACCAACCGATGAACTGAATTCCAAGATCGTAAGGTTGCATCACCGAATTAACGCAATCGGATCTCAAGTCCACCGTGCCACCAGCTCGGAACCCGAGATCTCGGCAATTCTGTTAGATACTGAACGCAACCCATTCGCCTCGTGGATCACTGATGTCCGTCTCGGTGTGGATAAAATTGAAGCTTCCATACTACAACGGGACGGAAGACCCAAATCTATGGCTGACCGGATTCAACGTCGCCATGAAGAGGCAACGGTTTGAAACCAACGTCGAAAGCTAATCACTGCCAAACCTTCGTGGAGCACCTCAGCAAAGACGCTCTCAAGTGGTTCTCCAACCTTCCGCCAGCGTCGATTAAATCCTTCAAAGAATTGTCTCATGCTTTCATAAAGCATTACTCGATGTGCATCACAAAGAGGACGGTCAACCTCTTCACTTTAATATAGGAACGCGACCAGCCCCTCCGAGATTTCATTGAGAAATTCAAGGACGCCGCGGCGGCATACAGACAGATCCCGCAAGTTTTAGCCATCAAGGCACTCATGAACGATATATGGTTCGAATCCACTTTCAAAGAAGATTTGCAGAAGAACCCGAAGGACACCATAGAAGACGCACTCCACCGAGTTCAAACTTTCATATGAATGAAAGAGGAGAAAACTTTCTACGCGAAAAAGCACGGCATGGACGTGGCGAGCACCTCGCGAGACAAGGATCCGGCGGTCAAAAGTAAACCGTCCTCCCATGCCGTCATAGCCACCGGAGAGAAGCCCTGGAATCAGTGGACCAATGGCGATCCTCCAAGAAATTCAGATGACAGGGACGACAACCACGATCTCTACTGCTCTTTCCATGGGCGAACAGGGCACGCCACTTCGGCCTGTCGACACCTCCAAAACTTCTTGTACGAAAAATACAAGGAGGGCAAAATCGACGTCGGCGGAGACCGATCCCAGAACCAAAGTTCCTACTTACGCAGCTCCAACTCTAAGGACTCGCGCCGAAGCACCTCCAGCAAGGACCACCGAGATCAAGGGAAATACAGCAGCCGAAACAATTCTGGAGGAAGACGCCGAAGTCGTTCACCCAAGAAAAAGCGAGAGGAAAAAGAAAAAGAAAAGGGAGCAGAGCACAAGAACGATGACGGCAAACATGACAATCCACCCCCTCCACCCAAGCGATGGGTTAACATGGTCATAGGAGGACTTCCCGACTGTGACGATTCGGTTCGCGCCATCAAGGAGTATGGCTAAAAAGCGATTACTTCACGAAAGTTCCCTCGCCCTGTGGACTACCATCCGACAGTTATCTTCACGTCGAAGGATATGCATGGGTTGCACACCCCACACAACGACCCGCTAGTTGTCGAGTTGCATATCCACGATAGCGAAGTGGCAAAAATACTAATGGATACCGGCAGTACGGTTAACATCATCTTCAAACATACCCTAACTAAGATGGGGCTCAACGACGAAGGTATCAAGACAGCACCAAAACCGTTAACCGGTTTTGCCAGTGAATCCTTCTTCAGCCTCGGCACCATAGGTCTGACAGTCTACGTCGGCGGAGTCACGAAGATTGTCAAATTCACCGTCATGGATAAGCCAGCAATCTATAATGTCATACTCGGCACACCATGAATCCATGAGATGAAAGCCATCGTGTCGACCTACCATCAGTGTATGAAGTCTGCTACCTCAACTGGCATCTTCACACTTCGCGGCAATCAACAGATGGCAAGGTCTTGCTTCATCAGCAAATGCAAGGTGCGACTTTCCGCGGCCAGAGCCCTCGAAGACACTAAACAAGAGAAACATATTCGATAAGAATCTTGCAGCTTTCGTATTTAGCCTTTTTTATTTTTTTCAATAAAGGCCAGCTTGTCCCCTGAGTCACAACACTCATTCAATAATTGTAACGAACTACGAACGGATTGATCCCAACTTGGGTACGTAGGCAACCTCCGGGTGCAGCTGTAAATTTCTTAAATTTTTATTTTTTGGAAAATAAGTTCGGCACGTAGAGCAATCTTCCCTTATGCGAATGCATCTTGCTGAATCGATGTTCTGGCCGAACATTCGATTCGAGAAAGCAAAAAGCAAAAATTAAATTAGTGGCTGATCACCACTCCTTTGATACTTTGGTTCAATTTAATTACTTCCAAAGTAGATAAGACGAAAGCCGAGGACAATACTCGCGCGACCCTCGATCATACCTTTCATGCCGAAGTGAATCATGAAAGCTTGGTATTCGATCTTGATTGTCGTTTGGTATAAGACGGGCAAAAGAATTCCGCTCTCAACTAAAAAGTTCCATCGCATAACGGAAACTTTCAAAATTTAGTGATTGCTTCAACTTACTTTTGCAAAAAAAAGGTAAACATGCATCTACCGCAAGAATGTATAAGCAAAAGTATAAGGTAAGCTTTACACACACACATTTACCACTGATCTCTTGAGTGCTCAATTTACCTCTTTCTCATTTTTTATATATCTCTCGTTTGATGGTGTAGGATAAGCAAAATGGGTCTCTAGGTATAACCTGTTTTGCATACTGGGTGGTTCCTTTTACTAGCTCTGAAGAGGACAAGATCGCAACTCAGAGAGCCAAAGATTTCTATTTAGGCTGGTTTGTTGAACACAATCATCTGAGAAAATTGGGTCTTATTTTCAAATTCTTTCCAGCTGGTCTGATGAAAAGGGCAACAACATTTCATCTGTGAATTTCCAGGGTTCTGAATCCACTGGTGTTTGGAGATTATCCTGACGTGATGAAGAGAATCGTTGGAAAAAGATTGCCAAGTTTTTCGGAACAAGAATCTGTTCTCGTTAAAGACTCATTCGACTTCTTGGGACTCATACGCTACACAACAAGATACATCAAACACTTATCCATTTCCGGCCAAAGGAGATTATACTTCAGACATGAATGCTTCAGTGAGCCGTATGTTTTTCTTTCCTGGGATCTTTATATTTTTTTTCAATTTACCATACACGAGTCCAATGCTGATTCTCTATGTCATTTTTTTCTGGGACAGTGTATGGGAATTTTACACTGCCCGAGGTGTGTTTCCAAAGACTTGCTAATTTAAGAAACCAGTTTTGTCACCCTAACACCATTTTAATCTTGAGTTTTCTTGTCACATATCCACAGTAGATTGATGTGCTTCCTTGGGGTCTTGAAGGAGTGTTGAACTACATTAAGCAGAACTATGGCAATCCTCCTGTCTACATTCTTGAAAACGGTCTGTCTTTATCTCTCTCTCATATTTTTCTTTTACTTAGTTACATATGGATCTTGAGAGTTTCTCTGTAAATACATACAATCAGGTTGACCTACCAACCACCATTCATCGCTTCACGACGTGGAAAGAGTGGAATACCTTCATGCTTACATTACTGCCGTGCTCAACTCAGTGAGGTGTGTGAATATGCTCTTTGAAAATGACTTGGCCTGAAATCGTAATATTTAAACTTTGACGGTTTATTGAATGTAGGAATGGGTCAGATACAAGAGGCTACTTCCAATGGTCGTTTATGGATTTGTACGAATTTATCAATTACAACTACACATGAATTATACCATGTGAATTTCAGCGATCCGGAACGTAAAAGATCTCTAAAAACCTCTGCTCTTTGGTACTCTGCTTTACTGAAAGGGTCGATCGTTAGTTCACAAGTGAACATGTCGGTGTCTTCTTATCGTGGTTTGGTTTTGTTTCTCAGTAATTTTATTTTTTTTGGTCGAAAGCTTCTCAGTAATATAGGAATTGGAAAATCTGTGTAAACAAATAAATTGTGACAAAGAAAATAATTCGGAGGAAACTGAGTAAAAAGAAATTATTTTAGTAGCATGCTTATCCTGCTTATTTCAAAGTGGTAAAACCCTAACCAAACTAGATGCCTTGCCGTCAAAATATAGAGGAGGGGATCCACAGGTACCTAAGAATTCACTTGCTCGTTTTTTTTTTGAACAAAGGCTCCACTTGCTCTTTTTTTTTTTTAATTCAATTTCTTCTCTAATTCTACGTAGAAACTGTTTTTCATATCAATGAGCATTACATCATCCATTTCAATTGATTCTTGTTTGTCAATACGAAGATAAACGTTCCGTCTTTTTTCTTATCATCCCAAAAACGAAAAAGAAGAAATGATTTAACAAGACCCATAATAAAAAAAATAGTGGCAGTAAAATAAAAATAATAAAATAATATAAAATATAGATTTATTTGAAAGACAATTATAGATATGACTTTAAAAAAAAAATATATATATATATATATATTATAAATACTAACATTATCTTTTTAGTTATTTTGATATATAGACTAATGGCAAATTAATTGGTCATACAATTAAAATACTTACTTATGATAAATTAAATGTAATTCAATAGTATATTGAAAGCATACTACTACTATACTTTTATTACAATTTTTTTTTATCAGAAGACTCTTTTCACAGAAGACTCTTTTCACATCCGCACTACACGGATTTAGTTTGATATATTGTTTACTTGCAGCTAATAGCCAATGCTGTTTGAGATTATGTCTTTCTAAACTTGTCATTAAGTTCAATTTAGCCGTCTCCTCATCTTATAATTTTAAGACTCGGTAAAATAAACAGCAACATCGGTTTCTATTTCATATAGTAGATTGTAGATTATGAGAAAAAATGTTTGGTGTTCTGTCTATATATAATCTACAATCTACTATATGAAATTTTATTGGACACAACAACCTTACTCAAGAATAAATACTATGCAGTTTTCGCAGATTAAAAATCTTGAAAAGATTAGAAAGAAAAGCTAAATAAATAACTGTTTACCAATGTATTTGGTTATTTTTCATTCTTGTGTTACATGACACCAGACGGATTCAGAAAGGAGAAGTTGAAGTGTGGAACCTGTTGTACCAAAAATTTTGTGTATTGTGTTTTGTATTTTGCATCTAGTTACGAGCATGACATCCGTAGAGCTTCAAAATAATTTAATATCTAAAAATGTAATTAGGTCCTCACAAATTAATTCATCAAATGATTTATTTATAATATTATCCAATAGCTGGCAATCCTCTAGCTGAAGCAGCACTATCACGCACGCCAAAACGCTGAAGAAGCACAAACTAAGCTCATGAATAAGGACCAAACACCACCAAAATAAAATGAGGACACTACAAGAAATATCAAACATAGTTACAAAAAAATTTGTAGCTATGAACAAAATTTTGTAACAAATTTCATTTTTACTACAATATGTTACAAAATAAAATTAGTAACTATGTAGTTGTAGCAAATATTATGTTGTCATAATTTGTAACAAAATAGCTACAAATTAGCAACAAACAAAAACTGTAACAATTTACTTCAAATATGTTACATTTATTTTGTAACAAATTAACTACAATTAGTTACAGGATAAATAGTAGCATTTAATACAATTTTCCACAAAATATTTGTAGCCAAATATGAAAACTAGTCACAAATCTATATGTGGCTAATCTATAGCATTTTTTTAAAATATATATAAAAAATACAAAAATGTATTATTTATATTAGTATTTCATATCTAATTAATTAATCAAATTAATTTCTAAAATCTTTAATACATTAGTAAAAAATTAAAAACAAGGAATAATTATATAATTTATACAAAACCAGCTAATCGGGAGACACTAAACCGGTTAAACCGGGAGACACTGAACCAGCTAAACCGAGAGACACTAAACCGGGAGACACTAGACCCTAAAATGAAAACAATCTTGATGAAGCCGCCGCCACGCCCAGCGTCGAGAAGCCGCTGCCACTTTGGCCGCTGAGAAGCCACCGCCACACCCACCGTCGAAACCTGAAACTGGAGCAAACCTTCGAAACCACCACCACTCGATTAAGAAAACCAAGACTTCCTTCGCGCTGCAGCAAGAGAGCTCGCCCGGAGAAGAGGAGAAAACTTTGGTGAAATAGAGAGAGTACATCCGGAGAGTAACCAGAAAAACCGCCAGTTAGAGGAGAGATACGTACGCCTAGCCGTTGCCGGGGCCTAGAGCGGCTAGCACGGAACCGGCAGTGAGCATTGGAGTGAACCGCTGATGGAGACAAGATCTAAGAAAAAAGAGAATTAAATCTGAAGAAGATAAGGAGGTGAATAAGAGAAGTAATGAGACGAAGAGGAGAAAATAAGAGGAAGAAGGAGAAGAGGAGAAGAAAAGCGGATCAGAAGGAGAAAGGCAAAAATCAAGTAAACTTGATAGATCCATTAACTTTTGGTATAAACACAGAGAAAAACTAAAGAAAAAGAAGATAAATTGTCAAAAAATCTTATGGCGGCCATAAAATTAGGGTTACAGCTCGTGCAACTAAGAAGATTATTCTACCCTTTATTTAAACTAAGTTAGAAAAATGGAACAAAATGCATCATCTTAGAATCGAACTCGCGCAATGATGTCATAGTTAAGCGCCTACAGCCATTACACCAAGTTGTTTCAATGCAAACTATCTAAGATATTGAATATATATACAAATTAAAATCTAGTAAAAACATTTCATATTTCTGTAAATATTAAAAGAATATATATATAAATTTTGAATTTTTATGTTTTACGAATATAAAAATATTGAAATTATAAAATTATAGAAAAATTACTCTCCAGTTATTTTTGATTTATTTTTGATATTTGAAAATCGCCAGGCTCAAGCCCAGCACCTGATTAACGCCTAACGAGTTTCTGAACAGATGATTTAACCTTACCAATAGTTAAGAATAAAATTAAAGCGTGATATTTATTTTTATGGATTAACCAATAAAAAATTATATTTTTATAATTTTGGAATATGTTTTTATGTTTAAATATAAAGTTTAAGGGTTTGAGTATATAATTTAAGATTTCAGTTTTGGAATTTAAAATCGAATGTGGTAGATATTTCATAGGAAATTTCCAACGAAATAAAATTGTAGGAAAATACGTCAAAAATAATGGTAGGAAAATGGTATAAAGGTTACTCATTGATGTTCTATGAAAATTAATTCCTACCACTTACTTACCAATGATATTTAACTTTTTTCTACTATTTTCCTACCATTTACTTACCAATAATATTTAACATTTTCCTAATATTTTCCTACCAATTTATCTTTTTATAAAGAAAGTTACAAATTTGTTACAAACATTTTTGTTACTATTTTTGTTACATTTTTTGAAGCTTTTTGAAACAATTTTGCAACAACTAAATTGACATCGCAAACTGTAGCTAATTCGATACAAATAATTATGAATTTGCTACAAATTAACAATAATTTTACATTGTAACAAAATGTCGCAAATTGTAACAAAATAAAGCTATAATTTTGTTCTGTAACAAAATTTGTAGCTATGTTACATTATTCTTGTAGTGGGACTTTACGGAAAAAAAAATTGGGAATGATTGATATAAGCAGTAGAATATTTACAGAACTTCATTCATGAGAGGAAGTAAAGGAAACTTGGTATAAGACGGGCAAAGGAATCCCGCTCTCAACTTTAAACTAAAAAGTTCCATCGCATAACAGAAACTTTCAAAATTTAGGGATTGCTTCAACTTACTTTTGCAAAAAAAAGGTAAACGGCTATTAAATTCTAATATATAAAAACCCTTTTGGGCAATGTCATTACATAAACGGCTACGCAAAAAACAAAAAAAAAATTACAAAAGGGGAGAGGAGATAAGCAGCTTAATCATCTTTTGATCTCCTTGCGCTTGCCTTAACAGCCCTTCGACGTCAGGTCTGCTTGATAGGCTAAGGTCGTCACCAGTAATAACTATCTCCTCGATAGCATCACTAGTAGCTTGCCACTTTGCAAACTCTCTCTCGAAAGCAGGAAGCGTTCCAGCAGGGAGTTCCCATCTTTTGTCTCGCATCCTCTTCAGATACGCTACCATAGCGCTATTCTTCTCCACGCCCACAAGGGCAGCTTCAACCTCTTCTCGCTGAGCCAGCGACGCCTGAATTCGCTCCATCTGCGGTTTAAACCAGGAGACCACACTGACAAAAACTTTGTCAGCAACATCTCGCATCGCTTCGTCGCGAGAACCTTGAAGCTTCTCTTTCTCGGCGAGGAACTTTTGCGAATTTTCCTCATTCCGCTTTTTGAGGACCTCATTCTGTGCTTGGAGGACCGCGACCTGCTTACGAAGCTGGGATGCCTCTGCCACCTCACCACGAAAGGCTTCAATTGAGAAGCTGATTCTCCTCTTTCGCCTTCTTGAGCTCTTTAATCTCAGCACAAGCGAGATCTAGCATCATCTCCTCTTGACAATAATTATTGTCGTATGTTGCGAACGCAGACATGTACGCTCCCAAACCCTGTACCACGATGTGCTATCGGAGGCACACAACAAAACGAAATAAGAACACAATAACATAAAACATAAAATATATGTGTACCCGAGGTATCAGATGATTCGCAG